TGGAGTGCAGCAGCGTGATCTTGGCTCACTGCAACCTCTGCCTCCCAGGACCAAGCAATTCTTCTCTCTCAGCCTCTCAAGTAGCTGGGATTACAGGTGCCCGCCACCATGCCCAGCTAATTTTTGTGTTTTTAGTAGAGACGGGGTTTCACCATGCTGGCCAGGCTAGTCTTGAATTCCTGACCTCAAGTGGTCCACCCACCTGGACCTCCCAAAGTGCTGGGATTACAGGTGTGAGCCACCGTACCCGGTCATACTCTCTTATTTCTTTTAATAGCCATAATTATTATGCTAATGAATGTAATAACATTTCATTACATTCTCCTTATAAAAATTAAAACACCTAAGGGCCGGGCGCGGTGGCTCAAGCCTGTAATCCCAGCACTTTGGGAGGCCGAGACGGGCGGATCACTAGGTCAGGAGATCGAGACCATCCTGGCTAACGCGGTGAAACCCTGTCTCTACTAAAAAATACAAAAAACTAGCTGGGCGAGGTGGTGGGCGCCTGTAGTCCCAGCAACTCGGGAGGCTGAGGCAGGAGAATGGCGTGAACCCGGGAGGCAGAGCTTGCAGTGAGCTGAGATCCGGCCACTGCACTCCAGCCTGGGCAACAGAGCGAGACTCCGTCTCCAAAAAAAAAAAAAAAAAATTAAAACACCGTAGACAAAGTTACAGAACCTTTAGACTACCCCTCCCCAACCCACTGACCTTCCCAGGTCTCATCCATGCACTCTTCCACAATACCTGCAAAATAGGCATTATAATAATAATCCCATTATATGCCTTTCCTGACTTAAAAAAATTAATTTAAATGGAAATAGAGATGGGGATCTCATTATGTTGCCCAGGCTGGTCTCAAACTCCTGGGCCCAAGCAATCCTCCTGCCTTGGCCTCCTAAAGTGCTGAGATTACAGGAATGAGCCACCACAACTGGCCCCTTTCCTGACTTTTTAAGGGTCAGATGAAATAATGAGTAAAAATGCCTTTTGTAAACATTACAGCCCTCTGCACACGCCTACTACTAGCATTAGCATAGTAACATACGTTACTTAAGGCCCTTTCATAAGCAATATTGTTTGGCTTAAATATCATTACTGGGAATTAATGGACTTCTGTGCCCCTAAAGGAGACTATAAAACCTTGCCAGAGTCTGGCAGTGAGAACCTCAGTGTGGTCTTTAGGGCTAGGCTGCAGAATCTTGATTCACCAGTAGGTGTCAGACTCTACCAAGACACATCCACCGCACCTTCTGTTTGAATTATGTCAGGGAACTGAGAACCGTCCAGGCCTGTTCTGTGCTTTTCAGTGGATGTTAAACGTGGAGTGCTGTGGGGGTGGAATTCCAGCTGGAAGTAAGGGGCAGGGCACTCAAGATTCAAAGACCAGTGAGGCCAATGTTTGGTCTGAGTTTGCTCACAGGTGAGCCAGGGAGTCCTGGGCTCAGACCCTCCCATCCTAGGGAGATGCAGGCTGTGTTCAAAGCTGTCCATTGTGAGAAGGGACTCCCGAGGGACTGGCTGTGTCCAGATGGGTCAAGAAAGGTAACATTTGAGGTCAGTCCTGAAGGATGAGAAAGACACTTCTAAGCTCAGGAGGAGGGAAGGATGTTCCAGGAGCATCCTGGGCACAGATGAGCAGTTGGATGGATGGGCAGGGTGGGAGGATGAGAGGATAGACAAGAATGGGGGCAGATATATCTATAGTATTGAGAACCAAATGAACCATAGAAGGGATTTGATTTTTGTTTTGTTTTGTTTTGTTTTGAGACAGAGCCTCATTCTGTGGCCCAAGCTGGAGTGCAGTGGCACGATCTCAGCTCACTGCAACCTCTGTCTCCCGGGTTCAAGTGATTCTCCTGCTTCAACCTCCCGACTAGATGGGATTACAGGCACGCACCACCACTCCTGGCTATTTTTGTATTTTTAGTAGAGACAGTTTCACCATGTTGGCCAGGCTGGTCTTGAACTCCCGACCTCAGGTGATCCGCCCGCCTTAGCCTCCCAAAGTGTTGGGATTACAGGCATGAACCATTGCACCTGGCCAGAAGAGTCTTTTTTGTTTTGTTTTGGAGACAGAGTCTCACTTTGTTACCCAGGCTGGTCTCGAATCCTGGCCTCAAGCAATCCTCCCACCTCAGCCACCCAAAGTGCCGAGATTACAGGCATCAGCCACTGTACCTGGCCTGTTGTTTTTTTTTCTTTTTTTTCTATTTGGGATGGGCTGGCTGGTGGGGAGTCACAATTAGATGTGTATACGATGAATTGGACAGGAAGAGACTGGAGGCAGAGGCTGTTGTCGAAAGTCTTATCCAGGGAAGGAACAATCAGTAAGACGTAGATTGGAAGCTACATGCAAGGAAGAATCACAGGGATGTGGGACGTGATTAGATGGAGTGGGAGCGGGGATTGTTGCTGGAGGAATTAAGGCTGCCTTTGAAGTTTCCAGCTTAACCAGCTCAGTGGAGGTAGAACCATTAGTTGAGCCAGAAAACAGGAGGAAGAACAGATTGTGGAAATAGAGAAACAGTTGGACACAGTGGCTCACGCCTGTAATCCCAGCACTCTGGGAGGCTGAGGCGGGAGGATCACCTGAGGTCAGGAGTTTGAGATCAGCCTGACCAACATGGAGAAACTCCGTCTCTACTAAAAACACAAAATTAGCCAGGGCCGGACATGGTGTCGGATGCCTGTAATCACAACTTCTCAGGAGGCTGAGGCAGGTGAATTTCTTGAACCCAGGAGGCAGAGGTTGTGGTTAGCCGAGATCGCACCATTGCACTCCAGCCTGGGCAACAAGTGTGAGACTTTGTCTAAAAAGAAAAAAAAATAGAGAAACAAGGAGCAAATAAAAAACAAAGGAAAACCAGAAAAGAAAAAAACAAATAAAAATAGAGGGAAGGCTGGGCATGGTGGCTCACACCTGTAATTCCAGCACTTTGGGAGGCTGAGGCAGGTGGATTGCTTGAGTCCAGGAGCTTGAGACCAGCCTGTGCAACATAGCAAGACCCCAGTCTCGCTCTGCCACCCAGGCTGGAGTGCAGTGACGTGATCTTGGCCCTCTGCAACCTCTGCCTCCCGTGCTTAAGTGATTCTCCTGCCTCAGCCTCCTGAGTGGCTGGAATTACAGGCATGCGCCACCACACCCAGCTAATTTTTGTATTTTTAGTAGAGACGGGGTTTTGCCATGTTGCCCAGCTGGTCTCGATCTCCTGGCCTCAAGTGATCCACCTGCCTCAGCCTCCCAGACTGCTGGGATTACAGGCGTGAGCCACCAAGCCCGGCTTACATTATCTCTTATATCTTGATGTTCTCACATACCCCTAGGAGGCAGGCAGATAAATAGTCCCAATTTCATCGATAAGAACTCAGCTTTGATGGGAAGGGGCCATGATAAGGCAAGCCCAGCAGGCCCTGGGGCCATGATGGGAGTTGCCTTCTCCTCGGGGCCTCTTCCTGTGGATCCCTTCATGTGGGTGCAGAGGTCGGCCTCACAGCTGTTCTGGATCCCATCACCTGTTCATTATTTATTATTATTATTATTATTGAGACAGAGTCTCCTGTCATCCAGGCTGGAGCACAGTGGTGCGATCTTGGCTCACTAAAACCTCTGCTTCCTGGGTTCAAGCGATTTTCCTGTCTTAGACTCCCAAATAGCTGGGATTACAGGCGCACACCACCCCACCCGGCTAATTTTTGTATTTTTAGTAGAGATGGGGGTTTCGTTATTTTGGCCAGGCTGGTCTTGAATTCCTGGCCTCAAGCAATCTGCCTGCCTCAGCCTCCCAAAGTGCTGGGATTACAGGTGTTAAGTGCTGGGATTACAGGCGTGAGCCCCCGGTGCATCAAGTCCCAACTTAAGGGTTGCCCCGTGGCAGCCTGGGAAGCCCTTCTGGGCTTGGGCTGGATGGTCCTTACTGAAGTCTGCCCTGACCCCAGGTGTGTGATCTTGGGCACCTCCCTCTCTGGATCTGTTTCATCTCCCTATAAAGTGGGGTTGGTCTAGGTGGACTCTGAGGTCCCTGCCGCATCCAAAACCTTACTGCCATCTGATTTTGGTGGGACAGACTGTGTTGAAACTATAGGCTTGGATTGCCAGGCTTTTCCCGGAGAACTTGCCCCAAAGGAGCATTTGACAGGAGCCCTTTTGAGGTCACCAGCTGTGTCTACTGCAGAGGGGAACGTCTGCTGTGCATTTCGGCATCGAATAAGGAAAGGGACATCGGGATTCTGGCTTGAGGAAAAGGAGCTCCCAGCTCAGGGCAGACATCATTTTGGAGCCACGGAGCCAATTTCCCTCACTCCAGGAAGGGCTGGCTGTGGCTCACGTGGGAGGGGGACGCTCAGAGCCTTCCTGGGGATACCTGTTCCACTTCCTCCCAATTGCCCATCTGTTTGGAGACCCCAGACTCATTCGGGAGGCCCCTCCAGATTAGCCGCAGGAGGCAAACAACTGGCTGTGAATTCCCCCTTTGTCCAGGGAAGCCAAATGGGGAGGGGCTGAGCGGACCCCCTGCCCCCACTGGAATGTCGGCCTCCTGCGCCCCCCATTCGCCCTCCTTTTCCACCACCTCCCCTGCTCACTTCCTGAGTCCCACTGATCCCACCACCAAAACACACGCATGCATGCACACTCACGCATGCACACACACACACACGCTTCCTGGCGGGCCGGCGGCCTCTGGCTCGGGGCTCGGCGATCCCCGCCACCGGGAACTCTGGGGAGAAGCCACCTTTTGTTATTCAAATCACACCCTCGCTGTGCGCGCCCGGGGGCCGCGGGATCGGGCACGGGAACCCGCCTCCCGGTCTCCCCTCGCGCCCCCGCCAGCTGATTCCGGGATTTCCCGGTCCCCGGGGTCTCGGGCGCGCCGGTCTCTGCCGGCGGGGCCGCGCCTCCCCCGCCCCCGGCGCGCGCTGCGGCTCCGCGCCCGCCCCCCTCCCCCTCCCCCTCCCCCTCACCGCCTCCCCTCCCCCTCCCCTTCCTTTCTCCGGTCCAGCCTCGGTGCCGCCGCCGCCGCCGCCGCCTGCCCCGGTCCGCGGGGGCCCTGCCGGCCGCCCTCCCCGCAGCATGGCACCCTCGGGGCGCGATTAGCCGGGAGCAGCTTTGGGGGAAGCGGGATCTCCAGGGGTGGGGGGGTGCCCCGCAGCCTCGGTCATGGATGTGAGCAAGATGGTAAGTGTGAGCAGGGGCTTTGCCCCGAGCCCCCTCCCCACCCCCCAGCCCTGGCGCCCTCCCTTCTCCCCCTCCTAGCCGGCGCGATCCATTGAAAGTTTCTGGATTGTTGATCCTGCCTGTTGGCCCCAACTCCAGGCGTGCCGGAGGAGGGAGCCGGGCCAGGATTCTGGAGGCGGCTGGCCGGCCGGGATGGGCTCTCGCTTTCCCGCCGCGCCGCCGCCGGGCTGCCCGGGAGATCGCGCTGGACTCCAGGGTCGGGGCTGCGGGGCTCGCCGCCCACCTCCGGAGACCTGCCCGGCAGAGGGAGGGCAGCGCCGCCGGAAGGGGCTTGTACCGTGCCCTCCGGAGCCCCCTGCCCGCACACCTACAGGAAATCGATGGGAAGATGTGTGGGGCTGAGCCCGTGGGCAGGGAGGCACAGGTGGCGCTGGGAGGACAGGGAGAAGCCAGGGTTTCAACCATCCTAGGAAGTGAGGGGGCAGGAATGGAGCCCTTGGCAGAGACGGGGGAGGTTCTAGGTTGGCTACTTGGGAACCCCAGCTTCTGTGGGCCTGGGGTGCAGCCAACACCTTCACCTCCTAAGCATGACTCCCCCTTTCCTTTAGAAATGGGCTTCTCTGGAGGGGTCTGTGCCCTCCCCCAGAGCAGCCCTCCACCCCCACCTCCACCGCGAATACAGTAGGAGCTTGAAGAAATCATTGCTTATTGATTGAGACCAAGGAGCAGCTCTCAGCCGATACCAGGATGTGATTTGGGGGATTCTGATGGGAGGGGGGTTCGCAGGGAGCACCTGGAGGCCCGGAAACTGCAGGTTTTCCCGGGGGTCTTGATTGGCTCTCACTCTGAATGGAGATTTAAGGATGCCCTTGCCATCTCCACCACCCCAACCCCCAGTTTCGACCAGGGTACTGTCTCTACCGTCCAGCCTTGCAACCTCAAGGGCCTATGTGTCAGGCTGGTCTTGTGGGAGGGAGGCAATCAGGGCTTTCGAGGAAAGAAGCTCTGTGTGTGTGTGTGTGTGTGTGTGTGTATTTGGGCCGTGGGGTGGGGAGGGTAGAGGGTCTGGGTCTGCCCTTACCATAGAGATGAGGAGATGCTAGAATTTGAGTTTATCTTGTTAAGAATTACATTACTTTTCCCCAGAGGGTGCCCTTTCGAGGCAACCAAGGGAGGTTGGTTCTCTGCCTGGCCCTGGCCTTTGGCACTCTGTCTTGGCTAGGAGACAATGGGATGGGGGCTGATGACAGGTGAGAGTCCTCTTCTATGGCCTGCATCAGTCTCAGACTGACTGAGCATTGCCCCTGGGGTTGGGGGCTGGGTGAGGGGTTCCATGGGTTCCTGTCTTTATTTGGAGAGAAATGCCTGTCCATGGCTGGGCAGTGAGTGCCCAGAGGTTGGACCAGCATTCCCTGTCTGTCTGCCATGAAAGCTCGCTTTCTTTGGGCATGTATTAGAACTCCCTCTCAAAAAAAAAAAAAAAAAAAAAAGCTCTGTGCAGCTATGGGGGTGGAGATGTAGAAAACTAAGCAGTAGTTCTTTCCTAGAGGTATCTGAGCAAGACCAGAAGAGTCACCTGTCTGGGCTATGATTAGGGGGTTTGGGGTCTGAAGCTTTGAAGCTCTACTCTAGTCCAATGGCCACTAAACCAAATCACCCCTGAGCATCCTCCCAGCCCTGCACCCAGGTTCCCTGCAAAGCTTGGCCTGCGAGGACCAGCTTATAGGACTCAGGGACCTCTGTCTATCCATCCCTCATTAATCAACAGCGTTTATTTAATTCCCATAATTTCTATAGCAAGTGCTGGGTAAAGAACACAAAGAAACATCATTGAAGGCCTCCCTCCCTGCTTCTCAAGGCCCTTAGCATGAAAGTGAAAGATCCAGAGAGATACAGGCCAACTCAACAGTTAGCTATCAATACAGGCCTAGATCAGAAGGCCAAAGCTTTGAGGACCATGAGGGTCTGAGAAAGGACTGGAATGCAGAGTTCAGATGGAAGACCAAGACCTCAGTTGGCCCTTGGAGGTTGGGTGGGGTAGGCATTGCCTGTTGGGAGAATCGCAGGAAGAGAATGGGCAGAGCCCATTGGGTGAGGCTGAAGACATTTGGCTGGTACAGAGGTTTGAAATCAGAAAACATCGAGATGGTTGTTTGGGGCCAGACCAGCAAGGCCTTGAATGCCAACCAAGGCATCCTGACCCTGGCCCGTAAGCACTGGGAAATCTCTGGAGAATTTTGATGCTCTGGGGAGGCGCATCTATTGCCTCTTTCCTCTTTTAGCTTGGGGTCCAAACAAAAGTGATATTAGATTCTCATTAATCATTGAGCAGCCAAGCGCCCTGTCCAGAAACAATTGTCTGCAGCTCTTTGTAAAGAGCACAGACCTGTGACTGTGTAGCAAGAAGAACCTTACCCACCCTGGGGAATTGGCGTCTGCTTTTCATTCCTGCAAGAGGCCAAAAGTACTTTCTGTTCTGGCCATTAAATTCCCATCTCTGGTTTGAAGTCCTCACTCTGGGGGCCTTTGGCTGCAGGCTTGACCTCAAATGCAGCCTTTCAGGAACATCCTTGACAGAGTCCAGTATCAGCCTTGGAGATTTCTCTTGCTTATGCAGAGTGAGAAAAAGCAGATTGTAGTTTACCTGACTCTGGGTGATTTTTTTTTTTTTTTTTTTTTTTGAGACAGAGTCTCCATCTGTCGCTCAGGTTGGAGTGCAGTGGCGTGATCTCGGCTCACTGCAACCTCTGCCTCGCGGGTTCAGGCGATTCTTGTGCCTCAGCCTCCCTAGTAGCTGGGACTACAGGCACGCACCACCATGCCCAGCTAATTTTTGTATTTTTTAGTAGAGACAGAGTTTCACCACGTTGGCCAGGCTGGTCTCAAACTCCTGGGCTCAAATAATCACCTGCCTCAGCCTCCCAAAATGCTAGAATTACAGGCGTGAGCCACCACACCTGGCCCTCTGCATATTTTTTTTTTTTTTTTTAGAAACAGGGTCTTGCTCTGTTGCCCAGGCTGGAGTGCAGTGGCACAGTCTCAGTTCATTTGCAACCTCTGCCTTCCAGGTTCAAGCGATCCTCGCAATCTCAGCCTCCTGGGTAGCTGGGATTACAGGCGCACACCACTACACCCAGCTAATTTTTGTATTTTTTGCAGAGACAGAGTTTTGCCACGTTGCCCAGGCTGGTGTCGAACTCTTGGGCTCAAGCAATCTACCCACCTAAGCCTCCCGAAGTGCTGGGATTATAGGTGTGAGCCACCGTACGCTGCGTCCCTGCATGATTTTGAGCAAACTTCTTCTGTAACCTCTTACCCTCCTCTGTATCATGAACATAATAATAGAGAAGGTTGGAAATAATCCTTTTAAGGCATAGAAGCTGGAGTAGTAAATCTTCCATACACCTGGTGGCTGTTCTTTTTTTTTTTTTTTTCCGAGATGGAGTCTCGCTCTGTCATCCAGGCTGGAGTGCAGTGGCGCGATCTCGGCTCACTGCAACTTCCGACTCCCGGGTTAAGCGATTCTCTTGCCTCAGCCTCCCAAGTAGCCAGGATTACAGGCGCACACCGCCATGCCCAGCTAATTTGACTGTTCTGATCATGATGATCTCTGGTCTCATCTGGGCCTAAGGTGACTCTTGATTTCCCTTTCATGCTTTAATTTTTTGATTGGCCTGGAGAGCTGAGCCCAGGCCATATTTCAGCTGACGGCTCTTGGGACCAGTTCTCCCAGGCCTGGTGATTTTTGTGAATGAGGGTACACACGACTGGAGACAGTGGATTTACCAGCTGCTGCGACCCATGAATTTTTGATGACATCAGATATCTGCCCAAGGGAGAGCTGGTTTAACCCTGCATTCAGGGAGAAAGTGCGGATGCCTTTTAGGGGTTGATGATGGAGGCTGTGCCTTTCACTAAACACAGAGAATGCACAGTACTGTAATTTGGAAAATGGAGTCAACACTATCAATTATTACCAAAGAACATACCGTTTACATAACAATTTATATTTCTATGGTGCTTTACAGTATACAAGGCAATTTTTTTTCTTTTTTCTTTTTTTTTTTTAGAGACGGGGTCTCACTCTGTCACCTAGCCCGGAGTGCAGTGGCACAATTGTAGCTGACTGTAGCCTCGAACTCCTGGGCTCAAGCTATTGTCCCCACCTCGGCCTCCTGAGTAGCTGAGACCATAGACGTGAGCCACCAAGCGAGGCTAATTTTTATTTTATTTATTTATTTGTTTTTGTAGAGACGGAGTCTTCTATGTTGCCCAGGCTGGTCTTGAACTCCTGGCCTCAAACGATCCTCCTGCCTCAGCATCCCAAACTGCTGAGATTACGGGCATGAGCCACCACACCTGGCCTATATAAAAGCATTTTCACACTTGTTCTCACTACAACCCCATGAGGAAGGCAGGGCAGAAATGATTAGCTACGTTTTACAGATAAAATTAGTTCAGAAAAGTGACATCCGATATTCCATACCAGGGGTAGAACCAGGTCTTGTGTCCAGTTCTCTGACAGTCAAAGTATGCACTATAGCGATATAATAAATAAAAGGTGAGGAAAAAGATTTAGTGTCTAGATTCTAGAATGGACACAAGTTAATTTCAAAAGATGAGCTAGGGGTCGTGGCCTTTGGCCTCTGGGTCCCCTAGGGGAGAAGACTTACGAAAGAAGGATGAGTGTCTATATGTGGACTCTGAGCCTTGTAAATCCCCTCCATCTGTTTTTGTTGTTGTTTTTTTTTTTTCGAGACAAGATCTCACTCTGTTGTCAAGGCTGGAGTGCAGTGGTGTGATCATAGCTCACTGCAGCCTCGAACTCCTAGGCTCAAGCAATCCTCCCATCTCGGCCTCCCAAGTAGCTGGGACAACAAGCAGGCACTACCACAATGCTTGACTGCCTTTTTTGATTTTTGGTAGAGACGAGGTTTCGATATGTTGCCCAGTATGGTCTAGAACTTCTGGGCTCAAGTGATTCTCCCACCTCAGAGTGC